CTGACACATTTATATGATGGAGTCAGAAACCTTCAATTCACCAAACACTTGAGTACTACCAGGTGTCGGGCAAGAAGCTGGACTTGCATAGACAGACAAGGTAAGACACAGGTCCTCTACTGAAGCAGTCCTCTAATAGAGTGTGGGAAATCTCTCCTGTCAACAGACACATTCTCATTTCTTAGGTTCCTTGACTATATCTGGGCCCCTCTCCCCTATACTCTTGGACACCTGATTTTTAAAACTCATTCCCTTAACACTTCAAGTCCTATTCAACTAGAAAAGGACCCCCTTCTGATGCCACATTTTGATTGTAAGGGCTCCGAACACATTCCGAGGTCACTCACAGGTCGAGGTGACTGGCACACCAATACACCCTCACAAGCAAAGGCTAGCCTGTGTCCAAGAGACCTAGGAACAATTCTTTTACGAGTCCTAACCTGGCAGTGTCACTAAAACCCACTCATACATTCTCAGCCACTGATTTTCTGCCCCCCTTTTAATTTTTCATGAAATATGTCTATAATAGTCACATAAAGCTTAACGAAGAAAATTAGTATTATACCCCTACCACACAAGGAGTCAGCCACAGGGATCCAGGTGAGGAGAGGGAACCCAGGCCACGCCCCACAAGTGGCAAGGCAGGAAAGCAGGAGAAAGGAGAGGAAAAAGGCCAGGGGGACCGGAACAGAGTGAAGAATCAGCCACAGGAACCCAGGTAAGGGGAGGCTGGAAAGGTTTCCTACAGCTAAGGGAGACAAACTTGTCTGTCGGTTTGTCCTACTGTCGTGATGCGTTGCTGTGAGTCTTGACTCTGTGCCACTGGTGTGTCAAACCCAGCGGGGTGCACATGGTACACCGGTTATGAGCCCAGCTTGCAGACTGAGACAAACTAGGAAGAAGGAAGAGGCCATCCACTTCTCAAAGAATTGGCCAGGGAAAACCTATGAATGGCAGAGAAACACTGTCTGATACATTACTGCACAACTTTATAAGAGTATGGAAACATTGTCCAATACAGAGGAGGAGAATGAGTCACTTAGGTTAGAAGGCTCTCAAAAAAGGACTAGGAAAGAGCTGCATCATCAGACTAAAACCAGCCTTACTCATATGGATAAGGTAAAGCTTTCAAGACCTCCATTTGCTGATGTGGCACCACTCAAATTGAGGAGAAACAGCTGCAAACATCCATTAATCATTGGAACATGGAATGTACGAAGTATGAATCTAGGAAAATTTTAAGTTGTCAAAAATGAAATGGAACACATAAAGATTGGTATCTTTGGCATTAGTGAGCTGAAATGGACTGGTTTTGGCCATTTTGAATCAGACAACCATATGATCTACTATGCTGGGAATGACAGTTTGAAAAGGAATGGTGTGGCATTCATCATCACAAAGGATGTTTCAAGATCTGTCCTGAAGTACAATGCTATCAGTGATAGGACAATATAAGGAAGACCCGTTAATATGACCATTAATCAAATTTATGCACCAACCACCAAAGCCAAAGATGAGGAAATTGAAGACTTTTACCAACTTCTGCAGTCTGAAACCGAGCGAACATGCAATCAGGATGTGTTAATTATCACTGGTAACTGGAATGCAAAAGTTGGAAACAAAGAAGAATCACCGGTAGTTGGAAAATTTGCCCTTGGTGACAGAAATAACAAGATAGAATTTTGCAAGACCAATGTATTCACTGCAAACACTTTTCAACAACACAAATGGCGGCTGTACATGTGGACTTTGCCAGACTGAACACACAGGAATCAGATCAACTACATCTGTGGCAAGAGATAACAGAAAAGCTCAGTGTCTTCAGCCAAAACCAGGCCAGGAGCTGATTGTGGTACAGACCATCAACTGCTCACATACAAGTTCAATTTAAAGTTAGAAAGAATTAAAACAAGTCAATGAGAGCCAAAATATGATCTTGAATATATTTCCTCCTGAATTCAGGGACCATCTAAAGAATAGATTTGATGCCTTGAACACCAATGACCAAAAACCAGAAGAACTGTGGGATGACATCAAAAACATCATCCATGAAGAAAGTAAGGTCACTAAAAAGATGAGAAAAGAAGACCAAAATAGATGACAGAAGAGATTTTTGAAACTTGCCCTCGAGCAGAGAGTAGCTAAAGCAAATGGAAGAAATGACAAGATAAAAGTGCTGAACAGAAGATTCAAAGAGCAGCTTAAGAAGACAAAGCCAATTACTACAATGAAACGTGCAAAGACCTGGAGTTAGAAAACCAAAAGGGAAGAACACACTCGGCATTTCTCAAGCTGAAAGAACTGAGGAAAAACTTAAGCCTTAAGTTGCAATATTGAAGGATTCTAAGGGCAAAACATTGAATGACACAGCAAACATCAAAAGAAGATGGAAGGAATACACAGAGTCACTATACCAAAAAGAACTGGTCGATCTTCATCCATTTTAGGAGGTGGCACATGATCTAGAACCAATGGTATTAAAGGAGGAAGTCGAAGATGCAATGAAGGAATTGGCGAAGAACAAGGCTCCAGGAATTGATGGAATACCCATTGAGATATTTCAACAAACGATGTCCCACTGAAGGCACTTACTCAGTTATGCCAAGAAATGTGGAAGACAGCTATTTGTATCCATTCCAAAGAAAGGTGATCCCACAGATTGTGGAAATTATAGAACAATATCATTAATATCACACGCAAGTAAGATCTTACTGAAGATAATT